AAAAGAAATTGCAACAATTGCAATTGATAGAGGATTTTTCGATTCAGTTTAATCCCCTCTATCTACACACGAGCGCTTTGTAAAAACTTACCGGACACTATATATATATGTTATAAATATAATAGAGTTTTTTAATCAATATTAAAGAATTGTCTACATAAAATATAATTATTTTTACTAAATTTTTTTTAAGAATTAAAAAGGAGAAACCATAGAAGTATTCGTCAACTTAATTACATTTTTTAAACCTATCACAATTTTATAGTTCAACTTTTTATACTTAAGAATTGTAAAGGAAGCCACTTGGTTTACTTTTGTACAACTTTTAATTGACAATCACCATGTGAAATATGAATATACATATATATATATATATATATATATATGTATATGTACAAAATAACATTTTGTGTTCATCCATCAACCATCTGGTCGACCTCGTCTTCACACTCGTTTTCTCAACTTGGAAAACAATCGATTCATTTGTCAATCTCGACATCTATCCGCGCTCTACTTATCTTTCACGTCGACACCCTAGGTGCATCGAAACTATGCCGTCCCTGGGATCTCGATCGTCGAGGCTAATCCCCCTTAGCGGACTTGGACCATGCTCCAACATCATTTGCGACGGTTCGCGATAGAATCAACGTACACCATCGCGCGCGCTTACCCTTGAGAGGGAAGGCGAGAATATAGGTGAAGAAGGGATAGGAGAGGAAGAGAGATGAGGAGAGAGAAAGAGAGAAGAGAGATAGAGTGCGCAATACACGGCAACGGCCGTGAGCTACGGGAGTTTGCAAGGGGGCGGTTAGGGGTAAGAGAGATGAGGCATGTGGCGCGCAACGGTTATTCGAGAGAGATGAGGCAAGTTCTCCGGTACACGGTGGTGGGCACAATATTGATCTGTGGGGTGGGCTTCGGGGATGCTGTCCTCCGACTCTCTCCTCCATCCCCGGACCACCGTTCTCACCCGCCTTCTCGCGCCCCCTCGAGCCCTGCGATACCTCCCTCTCCCCGCGTCTTCGCACCCCCAAGTCTACTACCCTGGTACTCTGGCGATGTGGTGGGGATCACGCTGGTTGCGTGCTGGTCCAGTCCGCAGCCTCCCGCGAAATCGTAGTGGGAACTGGAGGTGGCCACGGGAGGTAGGGGCGTTGGAGAGGGTGGATTCTCCGGAGGGGGAAGTGGCGGAGGAGGGTTATGGCCATCGTGGGGAGCGCTCCTCGCGTCTATATCGCGGCGGTGGCTGCGAGTCGCGAGAGCTCGACCGGCAGCTCGTACACGACCCCGACCGCCTCCTTTTTCAGGGGTTTCGGTTTCCGGTTCGGACACCCGTTCGCAGGGACGAGGCGGTTTTCTCCATCCCCCGTGTGTCCAATCCCTCTCTTTCTCTCTTTTTATCTCTTTGTCTTATTTTCCATCACCTCTTTTTCTCCATTCCCGTTTCTCTGGTCTTCCCTTTTGCCAACCGCTGTCTCAGTCTAGCGCGAGTTGCCACGTTCGGCCGATCACTTCGCGGCGTACTCTGTGCGTGCGGCTTATACGGGAGGTTACACGCGTCTCTTCATCTTCGTGCTCGTCGTCACAGTTGCCGATATTCATCATTACGGATTACTCGTGTTCGCATCTCGTTCGTGTTGAACCCGCGGTGTCCATGATGCGAGACAGATTCGTACATGCAAGAGGTACGACTTCGCCGGATGAAAGCAATTACGGATAAAGGATCGAAGCAAGTAGCACAAGCAGAACGACGAGGCGGATGGGAGTGCGGAGAAAAAGGAGGGATAGCCGCAACAGGACAGGAAGAGCGGCGGTAGTGAACACGGATATACGAGAATGTATATTCGCGCGTACGCGTGATCCGTGTTGAAGGAAACGAGTGCGACGAGAAAAAGAGAGAGAGAGAGAGAAAGAGAGAGAGGGAGGGAGAGGGAGGGAGGGAGAGAGAGAGAGAGAGAGAGAGAGAGAGAGAGAGAGAGGGAGTGAGAGTATGAGACTAGAGCAGAAATCATAGAAAAAGAAGAAAACTGAAGTCGCGCGCGAGCAAGAACGGCGAAGAGAACGGCGAATTCGTTGCCTACGTGGAACGGGTTGCTGGCAGAGGGAGCAGCCACGCTCCGCGAAGTTGCCTAGATACCAGGCAACACCGTGTTGCGCTCCGGTGAAGTAGGAGGCAGCGAAGGAGGCGAAGGTGGTGGTGCTGTTCCGCGGGAGGATGGAACGTGTGGTGGACTGTAGTGAGACGAGGAAGACGATCGCCGGCCAGGCCGCGAACGCAGGTCCGTGGTGCTGCCAGGAGTCGCGATAGCACATCCCTCTCGAAACTCGCCGAGAGAGAGAGAGAAAGAGAGAGAGAGAGAGAGAGAGAGAGAGAGAGAGAGAGAGAGAGAGAGAGAGAGCTTACATAGGTCGGAAATCTCGCGGCAGCGTGCTTGCGGCTCGAGAAGCCAATCGCGAAAAATAACCGCGGTGTCGTTTGCGGTATGACAGTTAGTCTTTGCATTCATCGAGCATCAGTCATTGGTGTCGACAAAATAATTTCTGCACATAGAACCTTGCAATTGAAATTGCAAGCTAGTTCTGTGAACTCTTCTGGCGAATCCTATTTTGTACTTACAAAAAAAATCTTTTTACAATTTTGTGCAAATGTTGAGCGTATTGTCCATGGCTATTTCGCGTTCACAACTAGAAATTTTGATCGAACCATCGACGTAGTACGTATCAGCGAATAACGAAGTGAGCCCCAGTGTCGGTTGAGAACGGGGTGAGAGTACTCGTAACGATGGACGCCGCCGCGTGGGGGAGAACGGCAGCATTCGGTATCGAATGAGAAACGTAGTCGCCACGGACACCTGTAAACCGGGCGCGAGCTCTCGCAAATTTCGAAGCAAGATTTACCTTGTCGTATTGACGACAGTCCGATACGTTTACGGAATGCATGCCAAACCGCTGCGACATGTGCATAATTGATGAATGACCGCGTGCAAGATACCATGTATAGTCTTGGGTCCGTTCTCGTATCAAAAGTCGCAGCGTCAAAACTCCACGGACGCATTTCCTGTAAGATTAAAACTCGCGCCATTGTTGCTTCTCTAAGGCATGCGAGACAATGGAAAAATTGCTACCTGCGTCGATAGACAGAAACCGCGGTAATGGCGTGCCATTTAATGCACTCTCTCCGATAAATAGGTCATCGTAATACTGGACTTGTGATCAGTGGCTGATCGGTTGTGTGGAAAGGGTTGCTAATTAATTCGCGCATTATTACGACGAAATATGAAAATGCTTTTTACTAGTATATTTCGATGATGTTGCATGTGAAAATAAATATGTGAGAATAAAAAACTATAATGCGCGTATCGTATTTTTTTAAAACACGAGAGAAAATAGCAAGATTATTAATTTCTATTTTTTTATTTTTTAAATATGTTTTTGTTTATTTAAATAAAAATATTTTTTGTATAAAAAAAAATATGACAACGTATTCAACTTTTTTCTTTTTAATATAAAATTTTAATATAAAATTATATACATTACAATATTTTTGTCTTTGGTGATTTTATTTAAATTCAATACTTTAATTATATTGAATATAATTGAATATACGTTACATTGAATATAATTGAGTTCTTTTATATAGTTTCTCGTAATAATATTCATGAATTATTCAATTACAAAATATTGGTCTAGCTCGTAAAGATTGATTTATGAGTCTGCATATGTTTCAATTGTGTTAATAATTCTTTCGATCTCACCAAGAAAATGAAAAATTTATGATATCGGAGTTTGGAGAAACCGATCATTTTTAGTCGCGGCACGTTTTTCCAAGGGGAATACAAGAAATCTCTTCTTGCTAGTGGTAGTGAAATAGTAAATCAACCGTCCCGCTTGTAAATCACCTAAGTTTCTGATGCCAATAACGACATTCGCAACTGGTACATATCAGAAAGAAGTATCGCAACACATGATAGTAATATTCAAATAATCATCATTTCACTATCTCGTAGCAAATAGTATTTTGCAATAGTTAGAATTGCGTAATAATTTTATTATTACTTCACGCATAATTTTAATTTGCATTTATGAAACATGTTCCAAATATTTTTATATATAAAATTTTGTTCCTATATATAAATTAAAAAAAAAGAACTTTCATTATTTCTAAATTTAATATCGAATTAATGTTTTATTAAAATTCTGAATTAAATTAAAAATTAATTTATTATTTAGTATTTAAAATAGGAATGAGATCTATAGATAGAAATATTATATTCTCGAATATGTTTTGCTTGAATATTACATTAGAAAATCTCTAAGTGATATATTTTATATTACTAGAATAATTATATCTTGACGAACTGACCAATTTTTAATCTGACATAAATCTAAAATCTTGATTGATGTATGATTCTTTAGCCAAGGAATTCGAGCTTATAACTAACGCATAATTAAGAAGTTGTAATTAGGATTTGCCAGCAGGTATTCCAGCCCGCATTAACAATTGAAAGCGATCTCGCTGAATTCAAAAGATAACGCAAATGCATTCCGTGAAACGACGCCGCACACGATAAGAAGTGGGTGCGAAAGGGTCGTTCACACGTAATCATTATTTTCAGGATCCCCCGTGAGAATGCTCGAAACGTTGGGAAGTACCGTCGCGCGAACGTAGCGCGTTCTCTCTGCAAACAATAATACGCCGCCACTTTTCAGCGATCGAGACCTCGCGAAATACGCACAACCGAGGCGCGCGGAAGAACGCTTGGTTATGACGGCGAAGTCGGGGGGTGCGTTAGCGAGGGCATCGAGTATCGATTAGCGGACGATTCGTGCGGAATTGAACTCGACTCGTGACACCCTGCACGATGATGATAATCAGTGACGCAGCGGGTGACAAAGCGCTTCCGGGCGATACTCGCGGCGGTGACCGCTGCGTGTAGAAGTGAACACGCAAAATTGTGCAGTGCATCACGGTCACGACGGGGCACGTCGAGACCGGATAGATGAACATCGGCAACTCGGTGTCGCGCCTCGACCTGGGCCTGCAAAATTCATCTGCCATGGCGTACCAGGCAAGAGGTCTATCGCAGTTGCGAATAAAGTTTTATAATACGATCGTCGCCGGTCTCCAAATAGTCCTCTTGCTCACCGTCCTACCTCAAGGTAAGCTTGCCGAGATGCACTTTTCGATATTTTACGGTAAGATTGTTCGCGACATTACTCGCGTTATGATTTTCTTTATCGTTCGTCTAAGCCATTTCAGAAACGAAAGAGCACGAATGATATTTCTTCGAACGACTTGAAAGTATTGACGAAAGAGGGAACTATGAACTCTTAATGATTCGAATAAAAAAGACCTTTACATCTATCGATTGAAAGATATATATAATAAAGAATGAAATGTTTCGATTACTGAAAAGTTAAACATTATAATAAATGTTATACTGAAAAAAATGTCTGGTTGAATTAATTGGAATTAAAAATGAGAACGCATCAACATTTTCTAATTAAATTCTAATTATATTAAATTCTCTATTAAATTCTAATTATAAGATAGCCGGAATTCTGATTGATACAATCAGAAACTTGTGGTTCATTTATTTTTAACATTCTCAACATAGTAATTATTAATGGCAAGGTTTTTATAAAATCTGTTTGCTCATTGCTTGAATATTTTTTTAATACGAATTTAAATTTTTTGTTCAAATAAAAATACTTATTATGTACATTATGCTTATTTTCTGACAAAAGATATGAATCTGCTTAAGGATTTGGCTTTTGGCTAATATCAGTTAAAAATATCAGTCAAAATAAGCTAATATCAACCAACATCACTAAAAAATTGTCATAATATTAGCTCGTGAATACTCTGAAACCACAATACAAATCTACAAATATAACAAAACAAATAATTTGACTTATAATAATTTTATGCAGCAAAATAACTATATTTTTTTGCAATTTTAGATGAATAACTTTTAAACGAGTAAATGGATCCACAAAAATAAATTTTTGCACGAATATTTATTATTTGATCAGTTTAAATATAAAGTTTGATTTAATTCTTATGTTACTTCTTCTTCAATTTTACAAATAAGCATTGTAAACACAATTTTATGTAAAAATCAAGACAAAGACTTAAATAATTTTTAATTAATAAAAGATTTGTACTCAAATTTTACCCAAATATTTAGACGTAATAATGACACAGTGTATGAAATTTTGATATTTTTGATAATATTTCGAGATGACCCATACATTTTTAGAAGCTAATTTAGGTAATTTGATTTTTAATATTACTTACAATTAGAATGTATAATTGCATAATTTTTTATCTATAATAATAATAGTCGGTTTTTATAAATTTTTTAATATTACTATAAAATTATTATGAAATCAAGAGATGTGTGTATAAGTATAATGTATCCTCGCCTATTAGTATTCAAGGACGCTTGCATTAAAGAGATTTCTGCACGCGGCGACTTCTATCAACTCGTGTCACTTCGTTCGACTATTCCGTCCTGATATAGAAATCCGAAAATAACTTTAGACGAGTACATAATTTAACGAACGACACTCCCGCGACTTATATTATAAGCCATCTTTACCACAGACATTTCTAGTCGATCGACAAATACAGTAAAAATCGACACATATAATAAAACTAATCATATCAGACACAGCTATAATAATTGTAGACATTCAAAATTCAAATTAAAAGTATTACACATATTTTTTAACAAAATAAAAAAATTTAGAAGAGTAATAGATTTTTCTATATTATATTTGACTAACATAGAAAGGCTGATACAATTTAGAATCTAAATAAAAAAATTATTTAAATAAGTAAAAGTAAAAAAGTTAAAAAAAATTTATATAAAATGAGAAAATGTTTATTTAAACTTTAAAATTTAACTGTTAAATATAAATATTGATTTTATTATACTATTTCATATGTACACGTATATAACATTTATTTTTACACGAAAAGTATAAATTTCCTATTCCCTGTCACTTTTTGCAAGAACTATACACTTGATATATCTTTAATAATAGCATTAGTGATTTGCTAATTGCTGTCGTATGCTAACTCAGGCATTTAGGGCCTCTATTTGGGCTTTACCGCTAAAATAATGACTATCATATATATATATATA